GTATGGGTTTCTCTCTCTTCGGCTGCTTTCCCAGCCGCTCCTTCTCTGCCTTCTCCTTGGCTAATTTTGCTCGCCGCATCTTTTCTTCTGTCTCCCGCCGCTTCTGGTTCTCCTTTACTGCTTGCTGTGAGAAGATAAAGACACATGGGCGCATATACACCCATTGCAACCAACCACGAGCCCAGGAGAAAGTGAGAACTGTTCACAGAGGACTTAGTCAGCAGGTATCTCTTGCTCACCAAAAACATATTCCTAAAGTTGTGCAGATCCATGAAGAATTCTTCCACGGACAATTTCTTGGGGTCAAAGAGGAAATACTCTCCCAGCTCCTTATAGAGGGTCTCCATGTTAGAGTGCATCATCCGCAGCTTGTTATACTGTTCCTGTGCGTCCTTCACAAAGCTGTGCGGCCAAGGAGTGAAGGACCAAGACCAAGAAGGAGACCCACTTCTGCAGCCCACGGAAACACTCAGAATTGCATGGTGGCACGCACAGGGATGTTCAATATAGCACTGCTTATAACAGCAAAAAGCAGAAACAATCTAACATCCCAAACAGGGCGATGGTAAATCCTAAACTGGTCCACCCACAGAATAGGAGGGGGCAATTTAAAGAGGCTGTTTTGCACATACTACTATGAAAGTATAGCTAAGACACATAATGTGCAAAAAAGCAGTACGAGGGGAGCCAGCAAGTGGGTTGGTGGTTAAAGTGCTGGACTCCCATATGGCCAATTATGGTTTGAGCCCTGGACCTGGCAGCTTGCTTTCTCTCTCTCTCTGGTGAGCACACAAGCCCTATAGCAAATTAAAATAATAATAATAAATAAAGTATTACAAAAAAGCAGTATGAGATAAATCAGAAGCCTAGTGGCAGTGGCTATCTTTGGGAAAGGGTAGGAGAGAAAGGGGGAGAATGCGTGTACATGCACGTACAATGGAGATGGGAGGCCTGGAAAAAAAATTCTTTAAAGTGGGAGAAATAGTATATTGTCATATCTGTTCTGTTTGCCCTACAGGAAAGTTTTCTTTCTCTTCCTATAGGGTAATACCTTCCTTTCAAGAAAGGATATAGTCATTTTTTCAACAAACTTATCCTTTTCATCTGTGGCAGCTGGGAAATTCTGAACATCACGTTCCACATCAGAAATCTGTTTCTTCATCTGATCTAAGTTTTTTTGCAAGTTTTCAGCAGAAACTAGAGGAAACACAAAAACAGACAGCAAGACACTTACTAAAAATTCCAGCCTCAAGATTCCTTAGCTTCACCCTTTGGAGCAGAGTTTCAGTCTACACGTTTCTGGTACTTCATCGTTTTAGCTCTCGTATGTATTCTCCTCTAGTTGTCTGACGCATTTAAAATGTCATGTTTCTAGTGAAAGTATAAATTACTTGATAATTGAACCTCCAGCCTCCACAAAATGTACAGTTCTAAGAACAGGAGATAGGCTTCATTTAACAATCTGTGAACTCCCCCGAGATCTTGGTCTCATTTATTTTTGAGAACAGGGTCTGGGAAGGAGACACACAGAATACAGAAAGGCAGGAGAGAAACCTGTTCCTATTTTCACTGACTGCCACTGATTCTTTGCCTAGTTCCAAGCAGTGAGACCTGATTTTTGTTAATTCAGCCTCTGCCTTCTGAATGAGAAAAAAGTATCTAGACTAAAAACACCTGTCTGTTTTCCAGTTGTTTTTTGTTTCTATAGAAGGGAGAGGGTCTCCCATTTCTACACATGGAGGCCTACCTGTCTTTGGCCTTCTGCTCCTCTCTGTGGCTTAGACACTACGTCTAAACCCTCCCCTCTCCTATTCGCACTTAAAATAGTCTGAATGGAAGACGATCTAAAATCTAGACTGTGTCTTATTTCTCTCCCCATGCCGAGACTTTTGGAACTCAGAACCACCTTCAAAGCTTCACCCCAGCCTGCCTCACCTCGACTGGCTTTCTCCACGTGGGCGAGTTCATCTGGAAACTTGAGGACATCAGGGTAGTCATTCTCACATAGCTCGGCCAAGAAGTGCAACAGTGTCATCTTCTGATCTGTAGACTTGGTATCGCGAAGCTTGGGGTAAGACGAGAAACTGTTAGTCCTGACATGCCTTGGGCTAACACAAAGGGTCAGAGGCCTATAGGTTTCCCTTCTGTCACCACGTTTAACCCCTTGGCTCACCTTACAGAGGAAGCTGATATTGAAGCCAAAAGCACCAGCATTCCTAGAGCCGGCATTCATAAAGTTTCCGACGAGCAAGGTGATCTCCAGGAGGCTGGAGAAGTTCTCGCTCTTGCGCAACTCCTCACATGCGGCAGTGACAGATACGATCTCTGGCTTGATATTCTCCACTTGCTCACTGAATTGCAGCTTGAAGAGGATGGCATTGAGGCGGGGCCGCAGACGGGGCACAGAGCCCATCTAGGGAGGAAGACAAGCAGTTCCCTCACAGCCAGCGGAAACATGAGAGCAAAGACACAGGCTTCAGCCTTCGATGGGAGGGCCAGAGTTCCAGAGTAGGGAGAAGACACAGGTAGGTTCAAGACAGATCAGCGGCCAGGAGCAAGCATCCAGGCTGCCCTCCGGGAGAGAGGGGAACAGGGAGTCCACGCCTCACTTACCACCACACCGAACTGCTCTGACTCGGCCAGATCATCATATTCGTCCTTCAACTCGGAAAGCATTTTTAACTGCTCTGGCTCTGGCATCTGCTTAATGAGGTTCTGAAAGAGAAGGGACACCTCAGCTTGAGGAGGATTCGTTGACAACTGAAGGCTATGTGACTTTTACTCTCTTGTCGGTCCCAGCTCTTCCCATGGACCACTAAAAAGGAAATTTGGGGCATAGAAGGGGGAGAGAGCTGACAGAATTTTAAAAAATTTACCAGAAACAACCTGATCCCAGAGAAAATGGCGTATCTCCAAAGCTAGCCTTTTTGTCGTCGTCGTTGCTAAAGGGCATGTACACTCACCGGAGAGAGACCGAGGAGAGGAGAAAGCACTCCCCATAGGGAATGGTCACACAGCAGTCCCTTCTCCACCTCTCCCTCCTTCGGGAATTTGTGCCTGACATGTTTTTCAAGCAGCCAGGCCGAGGACTTGAGCCACACAGTCAGCCATGAGGGATCAGGCTGCCCAAAGCTATTGTTCTTAAGTTGACAATATAGAGAAGGGCCTTCGTCGCCTCAGCAGGGAAGGGTGTGGCCAGGGCACAGCTCCGCAGGAGAGCGAGTGCCCGTGCCAGCCAAGACTTGCTCCTTACCTGGATCATGGACTCCGTCAGCACAGCCTCATTCACCTCCAGGATGACATTCTTGATCTCTTGATAGGGCATGCGGAAGGAACCCAAGAAGATTGCTGCCAGAAGACGCGGTATAAAGACATCTTTTCAGTCTCTGCCTCCTTCTAACCCATTCTACAGAGCTGTGCTGTATAATCTTCCAAAGAGGGCTTTTAAAACGGCACTCCCAGGAGCCGGCCGGTGATGTGGTAGTTGAAGCACCAGACTCCCCACACAGTTGACCAGAGTTTGAGTCCCGGACCTGGCAGCTTGAAACTCACTCCTGGTGTGTGTGTGTGCGCGCGCTCACGTGTGCCCAAAAACCCAGGAGCAGAATGGACGACAGTGTGGCCATCACCCCTGAGGGATGATTTCTCATTTTCCCTTTCTCTCTATTTGTTTCTTTTTCTTTGCCTGATGACAAAAACCTTAAAAAAAAAAAAAGTCACTCCTAGAAACCTTGTTGCCTGTATAGCTAAAATCCAAATCCCTGGGTCAGCAGGTGGCATAGTGGTCAGCACATGGCTGACCATGGTTCGAGTCCTGGAACCTGTGGCCTGAAAGTCACACTGGGCATATGCCCAAAATCACAAGAGGAGAATGGAGGAAAAGGCCATCCCTGGGGGCTGATTTCTCCCTTTCTATCTGTCTAGTGAGAGCACATGTTGTATAACCAAAAAAAAAAAAAAAAAAACTTCAAAAACATACAGGGAAAAAAAACCCTAAAACCAAGTGCCTGAGTCCAGTGTTCCAGCTTGTTCTCATTAATCCCCACATTTATGTCACATACCAGCCACACTGTTCTATTCCAGAAACTGATTCCTTGCCTCTGCTCACACAGGAAGTCTTTGATCTTTTCTGTCTATAAGCATCAAAGATTTTTACCCCACTCTGTTTCAGTCCCCACTCCCAGGACTCCATCCTCAAAGCCGCCGTTGCCCTGACCTGCTCTGCTCCTAAACAGCCACGTCCTGCTCCCACACCAGCTGCTCCGTCCAGCTCTCGCTTTCTAGTCGCTAACCTGGACGAGCTCCCTCCCATCTCCTGGCCGCTTCACTTTCTCTGGACATACCAGCCGCGCTCGGCCTTTTCTATCTGACTGAGACGCTGGTGTCTCTCCCTTCACTTCCCTCCGCTGTTCTCACTGCTGGGATTATCATGACTTCCACGAGGGTGCTCTTCTCCCGCCACCTTCTCCTTCCGGCCACCCTCTTCTACTCTTGCCTCTCGCTGATGCGGATCAGCCTGACGCCCTATGACCCCTGACGAGAGCTGGGCCGCAGCACTGCTTGGCACCACAATCCCCTTTGCGTGTCTCCAGTCCACGCTCTCCCACCCCTCTTGGCAGTTCCTCCAAAATACTCCCATTCTCCCAACTGTCCCACCACTTCCTTGTTTGCTGTAAGGAAATCTTGCTCCCTTTCACTCGAGAAACTGAAGTCACCGGACAAATGACTTGCTCAGTTTTCTCTTCTGCTACTTAAAAACTGAGCACTGGGGGCTCTCAGCTAGCACTAGGCTACAAATGGCCAGGTTAAGGAACGCTTTGGAAGCACCTAGAAGAAAACTGTGCAAAGAATTCCGTAAGTTTATCGGAATGCACTCACACACGTATCTGTGAACATGTGAATGCGTACACACAGACACCCCCCTCGTCCTCCTCCTTTCCTGTTTCAATACAAGAATGGCTCTAAGAACTATTTCCTTCAACATACGTAATCAAGTTTCTCCCTTCTTTAAAAATCCTCTGACCCAGTGTCCCTCTTTCCTTCACTTTACAGTATTATAAAGTTTAAAGTGTTCTCTCACTTCCACACTCTCATTGATTCTGTGCCCCACAAAGCTAAAAGGAAGATGGCAACCACTTAGTGTATTCTCTGGTAAGAGTTTAACTGAAACACCCTGCCGCCTCCTGCTGACACCCGCTAGTCACTCCCTCCCCAAAAAGAGAATCTGCTCTTACTAATATTTCCTAATTCAATGAACGGTACACTTTCTACAGGGCAATCTAAGCCCAAGAAATGCCTTCTCCCTTATGTCCTCAGAACAGCACTAAGTCCTAGTCTTTGTCTCTTTTAAAAATTTAACTTTATTATTTATTTATTTCCTTACTTCTTTTAATTTGACCAGAGAGGGACAAAGTGAGAGAAAGAGAGAGAGAGAGAGAGAGCGCATAAGTTGCCTGGAGCCTGGTCTGGGATTTGAACCATGGTCGGCCACCTGGAAATCCAGCACCCTTAGCCACCAAGCCACCCACCAGTCACTCTTTGTCTTCTTAATAGCTTCTGTCTTCCCCTTCATTCTCATTACCTTAATTTCAGGTCCTGACTACATGATCTGTCCTCTAGATTTTTTCCTTCTCACCTAGTTTCAAGCACGAAGGCAACTCATCTCTGCCTACAGTCTTCCTCTACTCTAGCAATCCAGCCTCAAAAATCACTGCCACAGCGGCCTTCCTGAACATTACACAGGGCGGGGACCCGCAGATGGCACAGCGGTTATGTCTCTAGACTCCCATATGGCCTACTGCGGTTCGAGTCCTGGACCCAATAGCTTGAAAATCATACCGGGAGAATGTGCGTGCATGCTCAAAATCCCAAGAGGAGAACGGAGAAGGGATTGCAGTGTGGCCATCCCCCTGGGGGGTGATGTCTCTGTATGTATGCACAGCATGTGTATGTATGTTGAAGGAGATAGTTCTTAGAGCCACTTCTTGACGTGCTCTAAGCCAAAACCTCTCTAAAAAAAAATTACACAGAGCTGTATTACCTGCTTTCTTTTTGGAGAGGTTTTTGCTATAGGGCGTGTGTGCTCACCAGACAGACACAGACAGAAAGCGAGAAATCACCCCCCAGGGGATGGCCACGCCGCAATCCCTTCTCCTCCATTTTCCTCTTGGGATCTTGGGCACACACGCACACACGCCTGGCATGAGTTTTAAGCCACCGGGTCCAGGATGCAAACCGCAGTTGACTACATGGGAGTCCAGCGACACAGCCATTATGCTAATTGCTGGTCCCTTACCTGCTTTCTTGATTATTCCCTTACGTAGTTTACTCAACCACCTACAGTTCCCGAACTGCACAGAGCCCTCTTGTGCCTCCGTGCCTTCCTACATGCTCATTTCTCTCCCGAAACAAGCTAGTCCTCATTCTGCCCTGAAGTCCTCCCCAGCTCTTCCGCCTCAGGGTGAGCGAACCTCCTTAGTATGTCTTCCAGGACTTGCCCTTCCACTACCCGCCCCCTCAATTCAGATGCCCCCTTTCTAGTGTTCTTCTAACTATCCTGGCACTCCCTCATAGCACTTATTAATCTGTGTACTTATTATTATGAATTGCCTTTTCTCCATCAGACACATGACTCCTGAGGACAGAGGTCGTCTTACTCAGCCTTGTGTCCTTAACACAGAAAAGACGCTTAAATCATGGTTAAATCACTGCATTCCATCCCCTAGACCATCCTACCTTAACATATTTCTTCCTGACTTTTTTTTCCCATGCCACTCCGCTGGAAATAACAAGCCCGTGGGTTTTCTTTTATCATTTTCTAAAACAATAATCACTCACATTTCATGTTCCTAGAAATACTCTTGAGATGAAAAACTAACGCTACTTTAATCTCCATAAAAGGATTTCACCACAGACAGAATTTAGTAACGTTTACTGACAAAGATCTAGAATGAAATAGTTCAGAATAATGTAAAGACTTGCTGTTCTCATCGTGCTGATGACTTTACTTATGGGCATGTGCACTTGTTAACTGCGTGACCTTGGCCAAGGTACAACATCTAAACTTTAGTTCTCTCACTTGGGAAAATGGGGACCATAACTGCATCATGACACTGTGCGTGAGCTTCGTGGGCTACATGCTCCTTCATCTCTGGAATGCATGTGCCTAACAGAGCCTGTCGGATAGCAGACCCTCAAATATTTGTTGAATAAATATTTAAATCTATATTACTCAGCATAAAGTAGGCAGATCCATTGAAAAGGATAAAAAACTAACATTCATTCTGACCATCAAAGAAGTACTACCAACATAGACTTTGCAGAGGAATTTTTTATCTAAAATTTTGTCACTGATCAGACCTATGAATATAGGTAACAAGTTCAGAACAGAACTCTTTGGAGTTATGAATCCTACTCTGAGAAGTACAAGATTTACTTTATTTATGTTAAATCACAATGTAATTTTAGATTTAACCGAAGACAAGCCAGTGCCTGTATTACTCAGGAAGTGGGAAAGCAGGGACTGTACAGTGGCTAGAACATTGTGGTAGATTTTTTTTGTGGATGCAATGGAAATAATAAGTTTTTGTTTTTGGCCATAGGTTATGTCCGTTTTCTGGAAAGAGAGAGAGACAGACAGACAAGAGAGGGAAAGTGAGAAATCACCCCCAGAGGGATGGTCACACCACAGTCCCTTCTCCTCTATTCTCCTTTCAGGACTTTGGGCACACACATACACCCAGTGTGATTTTCAAGCTGCCAGGTCTGAATCTCGAACCGTGGTTGGTCATGTGGGAGTCCAGTGCCTTAACCACGATGCCACCTGCTGCCCTAATAGGAAGGGCTATTAAATAAGACAGTGCTATTGAAGGGACTAAGTGAACATCAGAAATTCACTTACAATGCTTGGAATATTTTTTTTCAAATGGAAATTTGACATTGAGGGACCCTAGATTCAAGAGAAATAAGTTCTTAACAGAACTCCATATTTCAAATAGTCAGTTACTCACAGAGATTCTGGGCCGTCTTTGAATCCAACACCTTTAATTCTTTTACTTTTTTCTTTTGCACAGATTTCTTTTCTTCTCCGCCTTCCTGATCCTTCTTGGCTAAAGAGGAAAAGATCAGAACCGCGTGATTAAGAATAAGCCACCTCTGTGCCTTACTGATCTACCACCCGCCCAGCCTAGATGACCTCTTACCTCCTCCATATTATAATGGTCTCCCTATTGTTTTCAAGACTAAACTCTTCCTTAACTACTCAGCCTTCTATTACCTACACCCCAACTATAATAAACATCTCATTTTCATTTACTCATTAGTTATCAATAATATTTTCCTACCTACATCCTATGTACTTGCAGGGATCAGCTAACTTTCTGTAAAGGACAGTATTTACTCAACTCTCATGGCACTGTAACAGTCTGACAATACATAAACGAATCTGCATGGGTGTGTTCCCAAAATACATTATTTACAAAAATAAGGTGGTCAAAAACTGCGAGCAGCTGTTTGTCAGTGCCTGTTCTAGAGTTTTTTCCTAGCCTTATACACCCCCAAATTGAAAACAGATAATAATAAAAAAAAAAGTACATGCAGCACTATAATAAATAAAAGACAGAAACTGCCTAAATGTCCATCAGGAAATGCATTAACAAATTGTGGCATATGAGGATCTTCAGAAAGTTCAAGAAAAATAAGTATTATGAGAAAACGATGGCTTTCGATTTTTTGGGAATTATTTTATTCAATTTTACTTATTTATTTGACCAGAGATGGACAGAGTGAGAAAGAGGAAAGTGAGAAAGCGAGTTGCCAGGTCCAGAGCTTGAACTGCAGTTGGCCATGTGAGAATCCAACGCCCTTAACCACCATGCCACCTGCTGGCCCCGGCTTTCAGTTTTTCTGCACCAAAGTAAACTTGTATGTTAATTCCATTTTCCACAGACTTTTTGAAGTATCCTCATACAATGGAATAATATTCTGCTATAAAAAGGAATGAACCATGATAACATGCTACAATGTGGATGAACCTAAAAAACATCTGTTAAGCAAAAGCCGCCAGACACGAAAGTTTACTGTATGATTCCACTTGGATGAAATAGCCAGGATAGGGAATCAATACAGATAATGTAGATTGGTGATTGTCAGGGGCTAATAAGAGGGAAGAATAGGAGCAAATGCTTAATTTCCTTATGGGAATTGATGAAAATGTACTGGAGAGGCCAGTAGGTGGCATGGAGGCTAAGCTGGATTCCACATGGCTGGCTGTGCAGTTCAAGTCCTGGACCTGGGGCCAGCCCCAAATTGTTCACTTTAAAACAATTAATTTTATGCTATATAAATTCCACCTCAATAAAAACATTGGTAATTCATTAACATGTTTAAAAAGACTAAACGGATGAAATCTGAGTATGGGTTATGTACTAGGTAATAGCATTATATCAATGATAAATTTCCTAAATACGATTATTACTCTGGGACTACGGAAGAGAACACTCTGCACCGAGTGCATGCTGAAGAATTTAGGGGTTAATAGCCATGACGTCGATACTTTATCTCAGTTTAGTTAAAAAAAAAAAAAAAAC